AAAAGAAAGGGTACTTGACAGGTACACTGAATCCTTTTTAAATCATTTTATTCAATTTCCCAAATCCTCACTTCAAGTACTACACAACAGATTACCAGACAGCCCTGCTGAAACAAAAGTTTATATTTCTGCACTTAGGAGTCCAAAGCATCCTTTACTGCAAAAAAAAAAAGAAAAAAATTTTCACTTTGGTGATTTTAGCTATCAAAACACTGTAAAAAACTAATGATCTCTGGCTAGGTCAGTTGAATTTGGACAGCTCACAGACTGATCAGCTCCTTGCTCTGTGCTAAATCCAAGCACACCACCTGATCCCGCACTTGCTTGGAAAGGCACCAGAGCACCCACAGTTTATGGGACAAGGAGAGAGAATGACACCCCCACCTTGATTTTGAACAATTTTACAGAAACCAAAACATCACAGAGAAATTTCACTGGCTTTAGCCAATAAGAACAAAGCACCAGAGCAAAATAAGCAGCAGAAGTCTTGGCTCATTCCTAAAAGTCTTTATTTCACTGACACAACTTTTCAGTACACACACACACACTTGGGCCGTCAAGAACAACTGCAGAAGATGTGATGGTACTGTTTTCCTCTCTGCATCTATTTCAGGAAAGGTTTTTTATATTGCACCATCATAGGAAAAAGCAACTCTTTTTTTTCCTCTTCAAAAATACTAAGTTGTATTGGACTAAAAAGAACATTTTAAACATATTTGTGTTTGGTGAACTTGGAGAGATATATAAATAAGTAGACGATAGATAGATGATTGCTAGATAGATGACCAAAAATATTTTTTTCATTTTTAATTTTACAAGTCATACAAACTGATCATAGGCTAACAATCCCTGACATTACAATCTGTATACATATACAGAATGTTGTAGTCTTTGAATTAAGAGAAGGGTGCTTATAAGCATACCTTGCTCTCACAGGCAGGATGTCTACAGCTGCAGTAGCTACAGGATCATGGGTCATTTAAAACTCTCTCTCTCTCTGTCACCTCTTCTGATGCTCTCAATATATCCCACCACACCTGTGAGCTAAACTGCCACTCCTCTGGAACCTATCGCCACATATTTACTTACTCGCCTCGTTTTTTTGGTTTAATAGGAAAGTGGAAAAGAAAGCAAGGAATTTCCCTGGGAGAACACACGGAGCTTTCATCAAAGCCAGCAGCAGAGCAGCTCCCCCAGCATCTGCAGCAGCCTCCCTGCTTCCCGTGCTAGGCCTGGGTGCCCCCGAGCGCTCTGCCCGGCCGGGCTGGCCCTGCTGGGCACGCTCAGGCTCCACGCGCGGCTCGGGCAGCTGGGCGCTGCCGGCGTGGGCGTGCGGAGCCGCTCGCTCCCGGCTCCTCCCCAGCGCGCCGCCGCGCCCGGGGCTGCCAGGAACGCCGGGCAATCCCACTGCAACCTACCCACCACATCTGGGGCGGAAGAACGGGGCAGAATGAGAAGGAGCTGTTTGTTTTTAAGCTGCTCTCGCACGCCCTGCAACGCACAGCAAGGAAATCGAGAGTTAATTGCAAAGCGTGTCCGAAGCCATTACAACGTTGCGAGGCTACAAGTTTGCAGGAGGCGACTGGCACTCGGCTCGGGAGGGGCCGCCGTGTTCCACCTACCCTCCCTCTCTCTCTCCCACCCGTGTCCCTCACAGGAGTATCCACGTCGCGGCCGGGGCCGCTGCTCCGCACGCAGCGTTGGCTTTACAGCCCGACCGCGGGGCAGGCCGGGCGCGGGGAGCCGCGGGGGCGAGGGGCTGGGCGGCGGCCGCCGACTCACCCGCGCCGTGACCTTGTAGACGGTGTGGCCGCGGGGGTGGCGGCGCGGCTCCGTCACGGTGTAGAAGCGGGCCAGGTCGGCGCCGCGCTCCCGCGGGCTCAGCATCCTGCCGCTGCCCCCGCCGCGCCGCCCGCCCGCCCGGCACCGGCGGAAGCGGCGCCCGGGAACGCCCCGCCCCGCCCGGGCGGCGCCGGAGGCCCGGCCCGGGGAGCCCCTCCCGGCCGCCGGGATGCTCGGTGCGCCGGTCCCCGGTTCGCTGTCTCTCCCCGAGGCTGGAGGTCCGCGCCGCAGGGACGAGGCCGGGGTGTCACGGCCCAGACGTGGCAGGCACAGCCCGGCGGCGGCGCGGCCCCGTTCCAGGTGCCCTGCGGGGGCACGGCCCTGGGGGATTGACACTCGGCGGGAACTGACCGCCGAGCCCCTCGCTCACACAGGCACCCGTGGCCTCTACAAATCCGTAACGAGCCCCTGGTACGCCGCTCCCAGCGTCTGCCGTGGGCTATTTTAGGCTGTGCTGCCCTAAATCCATAGGCCTGTAACGCAGAAATGACTCACGGATTTTAAAGAGGAATGCTACCAGAAAGGCAAGTTTGATGGTTATGGAATCACCATATTTTGTGTGTTGTGTCTCCTCCAGGTTCTTTAAGCTGCACCTGGACTTCTTCCTACGGACAGGCTCTCTGCGTGCACAGGTCTGCAGCACACTTTGGTGTTAGGAAACCCTCCAGGGTTTGAGGGGCATTGCTTCCCTTCTAAGAAGCATAGCATTGTGCCACAGGACCTTGTCCTTTTGTAAGATTACCTTCGATTTCTTGTCTGTAGTGGGGTCTGTATCAACGTAGATCTCACACCTCAGATCATATAAACTCGATTTTTTTTAATCACTGCGCATGCATTCATTTAATTGCAGATGTTTAAAAAACCAGCTTTTCCTTGCCAGGTTATTAATATCTTTGCTCTCATGCAGACTTTTGACATAAAGTATTTAACAATACTTAACTGTGTGTCTTTGTGAAAGATAAGAGTTTTTGTACTGAAGTTCATAGTAAGCACGTGCCTCTCCTTTGAGAAACATTTTCTTAAGGAAGAGGTAAGAAAGAGGATATAGGTTGTTAGTAGCTCACTTGTCACACTCCTTTATGTTCTGATGTCTTCTACATCTTGTGCTGGTACATAGAACTTCATGGAAGTTCTGTAAGTTACCAAAAGTTCGCACATTCAAGTACTTGGGGGAGCGGGTCAGTGAGTAACTGAAGAGACAAACACATCAGGCTTAGGAAATGCATGGAGCTGAAAACAGCAAGAGGCAGGGAGACTGTTCATTTGAAGTTTGCCCAGTCCCTGCACATTTCTAGGCATCTGCTGCTAATAACATCTAGAAAGCAGGAAACTGAGCTCAGTGGACCATTGATCTGAGCCACCGTGGCTGTTCTTATGTGCAGTGTAATCAATCAAAGCATCCCTCAGTGAGTCAGTAGCCTCCACTCACTAGGGAGTTTCAAAAGCTCAAATGACTCATAAAATAATTTGGCTTCTACTTCCAAATCAGAATTTGGAGATATCTAATGCTGCAGAATATCTTTTCACATGGTATAGCCAACACAAAGTAGTAATTAGATGGGAATAAAAAACCCACAATTAAGTGTTACTGGCTTATTAAGACTTTTCTAGGTCAAGGCAAGAAAATTTAGCAACACTGAGATGAGAAACAATTTGCATCATATCAATAGGTTAATCTTTTTCTTCTCTTTTGTCTGTTACACAACTTCCATACTTTTCAGCACATCTTTATTTTCATTAAAATCCAAAGCTTCCATGATTTCTTTTTTTCCAGCATCACTACTGAGATTACGACTATGTAAAAACCTTTGAAGTGACAGATCAATTTGGGTGTCCCTGTGCAGGTCAAAATACAGAAAATAACTGCATGTTGTGTGTAGATTCTGCTCCTAAAAAGAACAGCAGTTGTGGTTGCTATAGCTGTGGTTTACTGTCTTCTGTCCTAGAAATACATCTAAAAGATAAGAATACAAATGTTCAGAAAAGAACAAACCACCAAAACAAGATGGTCTTGAAAATGCAGTTGGGAGATCCTTTACTACACATGTGTTATGGGGTTAGTAGTTTCATTCTCATATGGTGAAGAAACTAACAGAAAATTGATGGGTATTTTTACCTTTCACCAGTAAGTTGTGTTCAAGAAAAGGAAAACCCAAAGTGGATCTGACACGTTGCCTAGCTAGCGTGCTCTTCACTGCATTATTTCAATTCCAGTCTTCCCTACCACTCCTGGGAAAACTTTAAATGTTATTTAAAGTCACTTTTATGACAGATATAAAAGGAATGCAGAGAAACAGTATTTTACTTGATTACAGTTCCTGCACAGCATCTGCACTATTCAGCACTATAATTTTTCATGTGCATTGTGGTACGTTTCCTTATAATAAACAGGGCCAGCATTTCCAGTGTCCTCAGAAGACCTCAAGGAAGCGTTCCAAGTGCTTATTCAAGCAACATCGGCAGAGGATTGTTGCTGCAGCTGGTAAGCAGCGGTGGGTCTGTCGGCGGGGGCTGCAGGGCAGGCAGGTCTCCCACCCATCTCTCAGGCCAGCTCTCCTCAGCAGAGCACCTTCAGCTGCATTTTAAAACCAGACAATGTTGAAATACTTGCTTGGGTGGGTGGGGTGTGGTTTTTTTTCTGCAAACACTAAGCATGGTGCTGCTGCCCTAGAAATGTACTATGGAATATACGGCAGCTCTTTCCCGGCCCCTCTGACCCTGCAGGAACACACTCTGATCCCAGGGAGGAGACCACTTATGGAAACTATCACAGAATACGCTGAGTTGGAAGGGATCCACAAGAATCATCAAAGTCCAGCTCCTGGCCCTGCACAGGACATCCTCGAGGGTCACACCTTGCCTGAGACTGTTGTCCAAATGCCTCTTGAATTCGGCCAGACTTGGTGCCGTGACCACTTTCCTGGGGAGCCTTCCAGTGCCCCACCACCCTCTGGGTGAAGGAACTACTGCAGAACCCAGCGTTACATCCATCTAAACGCTTCCAAGGCCCCAATCGCGCTGCCTACACGCAGCGGCCCCCGGCGGGCAGCGCGGGCAGGGGCCGTCACCCGCCCGGGACCGGCATGGCGGCCGGGCCGCGGCGTCGGCTGCCCGGGCTAAACATGGCCGCGGGCCCGGCCCTTGGACTACAAGTCCCAGGAGCGAGCGGGAGGGCGCGGCGCGGCCGCAGCCCGTGCGGGGAATGAGGCGGCGGCGGGGCGGCCGGAGCGCGGCGGCCGGAGCTGGCGCTGCCCTGGGCTGACCCCTTCGGGGGCCGCCGGGGCTGCGCGGCGCCGGTAGCGGGGCCCGGGCCCGCCCGGAGGTAAGCGGGGCTGGGGGCGCTGGTGGTAATGCCCGCCATTAGGCCGAGCAGGGCCGCGGTAAACAGAGCGCGGCGTGGGGCGTTCTGCTGCCGGGGGTGGGCGGCTGCGGGGTGTAGGGGGGAGCAGTTAATCAGTGCTTTTCTCACAGCATGTGCTTTAGTTTTGGTGGGGGTTTTTTTGGGTTTTGTTTTTTTTTGTGAAGTAGTGATGCTTTTTTTGCTCTATAGTAATGCTGTGGTGTTCCGGGGGGGTGTTTTGTTTTTGTGTGTGCTGGACCACATGTGGTGCGCTTTGGCGGAAAAGGGTTATTTCAGGACAGGCGGGTTTTGCTGCAGGTTGTATTAGCGATTAGAGGGTGTCCAAAGGAGGGCAGTGAAGATGGGGAAGATCCTTGAGGGGAACATATGTGAGGAGCGGCCGAGGTCATTTTGAGCCTGGAGGAGACGGAGACCTCATGGCAGTCTACAACTTCCTTATGAAGGGAGGAGGAGGGGCAGGCACGGATCCCTGCTCTGTGGTGCCAGAGACAGGACCCGAAGGAATGGCCTGAAGCCGTGTCAGGGCAGGTTTAGGCTGGGTATTGGAAAAAGGTTCCTCACCCGGAGGGTGGCTGGGCAGAAGCTGCAGCAGCCTCCGCAGGGAGCAGCGCCAGGCAGCCAGACAGAGTTCAGGGAGCCTGTGAAAAATGCTGTCGGGCACATGGTGTGACTCTTAGGGTGTCCTGTGCAGGACCAGGGCTTGGGCTCAACGATCCTTGTGGGTCTCTTCCAACTCAGCATGTTCTGTGATTCAGTGATTCTGTATTTCGGCTTATTTGCTTGGTTGAATGACAGCTGGGAGGTTCTCACTTCAGCACAACTTCAGGCATATCAAGCTTTGTTATCTTTTGCTTATAGGCTCAAAATATACTGAAAGTATTATTTAAATAGTGAGGAAGCTGAGATACTACTGTCACTAAGCCTTCCTTCCTGTGATTTTGTTGAGAGACAGATTTATTCTAAAGAAAAAAAAAAAAAGAAATCCACCTTTTTCATGGTTTTAGTTGCTGAGCTGTGTTTCCAGAGTTTGCTCTCCTGGAAAAGAAGTAAGAACACAGATTTAGTCTTACGCTGGTGCTAGTGATGCCTTGAGACTTAGTACCTTTATTTCCCTGTCGTGTTGGCATTGGGATTTGAGCCAAATCAGTGGCTTTCCAAACAAAGTTCTGATGGCTTGCAGGAAAGTGGTCTTCTCATTCCTTACAAATAAATAGCCTTATGATAAAGTTAATGCAGCATGCAAAAATGACCTTTTGTAAAGGTCATTCCTCTGAGCGCTTGAAAGATCTGACACTTGAATTCAACAAGGCAGAAAATAAATTTTAAATCCTTACTGAGACGGATAGGGTTTGGATGCTAAATGGCACTTGTAAATGTGGGCGGGGGGGAAAAGGATGCAAGATCAAAGATCACTTTGTAAAGTCCCATTTTGCATATCATTTAGATAAATGTTTAAATACCTTGTATATAAGTGTTTGAATATCTTGTGTGCATTAACCTGTAGAGAGAGTATCTTCTCTAAGTCCTGACCAGGATGACTTTGCCTCCACGGCTTTCAACAGGCAGATGTAGTTGTGTGCTAGTAATGAAACTTGTGCTTTTTTGGTAGATACTCCATGCTGCCCCGCCATGTGCAGAGGCTGGGCAGAGACTGGATCACCCACTGGAATGGCTCCCAGATACTGGCCTTGAACAGCCCAGTTTCCAGCTGTATGAGATGGGCCGGACACTATCCTCCCTGGGCCTCATTTCCACTCCCTATTTCAGCTGATTTTTCAGCAAACTGGAGATTCCCTCCATTTTTTGGACCTTGGAGACAATTTCAGAACTCTAATTGGCACCTTGATAACTACACACAAAGTTGTTGCTTTCACCTACCCAGCCCCAGTATGAAATCTGAGGGAGAAGAACCATTGACAAAGAAGAGACGACTCAGTGACCAGGATGATACTTCAGCTCCTGAACAACATACAAACTTGTGTAATCAGAAGGAAGTATCTTGCCTTTCTGTAGCACAGAATGAAGAAAAATGTGGCAGCAAGAAAGGTAAAAGATGCTCTTTGCTCATTTGCCATATTTATTTCTAATGCTAATATACCAAATGAGTTAGAGATGTGAGCAGTAGCACCTGCTCCTTTTGAGTTACTGTTTTTCTTGGCACCCCTCTCAGGAAAACATGTCTTTAAAATGATCCAGTTTTGTAATGCTGTTTAGTCTGCAAACTTGTATTTTGTGCTGTCAAACAGTCTACTGGAACTAGGTTTGCTGCACTTGGCAGTGGAACACAGTCAGTTGTGTAAGGGGTTGCCCAACCTGGGGAATCCTGAGCTTGTTTCAGACAAAACTCTCTCATGTCTCTGTCACCAGGTCATGTCTGTTAACTTGGTAGCTCTGAAAAGCAAAAAGATTTGGCTGACTTGCTGTAGGGCTGAGCTGGACTGGCAGTTGTATAGCTTCATTCCTTGTGCTCTGTCTGAGCTCATAAACCCTACTGGACCTGAACTGGTTTCTTTCCAGACCAGTTGTGTTATCTGTGACTTAGAAAACTGAGAAAGAATGCACTGAGTTTTAATGGTGCATGCTTCCAGTGTGCTTGTGTGATTTTGTTCTTACAGCTGTATTCTGCCACTGTCATGTTGGCAAGTTTTGTGTCAGATCACATCTGACAGAGCAAGCAGCGCGTGTGCTTATCCAGATAAATACAGGAAGAGGTGCAGAGTTGTCTACTGGGCTTAGTAATAAAATTCCATGAAACTTCAAAGTGTCTGTGTTAGCTTGTTACAGATACACTCTTGTACATAGCATTCAAATATTTTCCTGAGCCTTGTGTATACTTTACAGTTTTGTCTAGTGAGACAAATATAGGGACACAGTCAAAATTGTTGCCTTGCATAAATCACTTCCTTAGCAAAATAAACTGGAAATTGTATTATGACTAAAAAGGGCAATAGATGCTATCAGCATCCCAAAGGGATTTTTGGACACAAATACCCAGAAGGCTTAGAAACATCATATTCATCTTCAGGAGCCAAAGGAAGGGACTTTGCTTCATGCCTTAATTACTGAGTCCCTGCTTGCCTTTCATCAGATAGCTTTATCTGAGAGTGTGGTTGGCACTGTGGTCCTTCCCAGTCACCCTTGATAAGGTGATGCTAATTAAAGATACCTGCTGAGGAGCAATATGGCTTCTCTCCCACCACAGAAACAGAACTTAAAGCCTTGCTGTGTTCATTGCAAACATTGTAAAGTCCTCAATAATCTAAGTACAGCAATGAAAATCACTACCCAGATAGGACAGATGGTGAGAGCTATAGCTGCAGTCTGCTACTGGTTGTTAGCACAGATAACTGGACCTCAGCTTGCTCTCAGATGAGATCAGATATAAGGGGTGAAAAGCATCTCTGTGAGATTTAAGTGGAGAAATGCATTTCTTAAAAAGTAACTGGATGTCTAATGATGGGCAGATATGTTATAATGAATTTTCCTGCTAATAGTAAGTATGAAATTAAAAATGGCAGAAAGGTAAGGGGAGCCTTTTCAGAAGTTCTTGGTAATTCTGAGACTTAATTTCTTGATTTCTCAACTCACTGAGAAAAAATGGGTTCATTATTTGTCTTGGGACTCATAAGTTGCAGCTTATGGCTGAGTTTTACAGACTGTACAGGGGCTAGAGGTGACTGATGGATTCCTAACCCTTTGTTAGCCATGGATAGAGAGATCAACAAGGTGCCCATATGCTGCTCTAAGGAGTGGATCCCAGACTGACATACATCATCTCTGCTGAGGAGGCAGTGGCACAAGGCAGTGTAAGACTCCCAACAGACTGGATTTGGCTCACCAGTTAGGCAGCCCTTCTACAAGAGCAGGGGATGTAGTCTGATTGCAACACTCTCCTTAGAGTATGCCAGTTCCCTAGTTTCAAAGCAGTTGAAATCCAGGGCATATGATGGTTTTGTGCTGTTTGTTTTAAGGTCGGGGGGGTTGGTTTTTTTTTGTTTATTTGATTTTTATTTTTTTTTTACTGATGCATATCCATCTCAAAGCAGTTGAAATCCAGGGCATATGATGGTTTTGTGCTGTTTGTTTTAAAGTCGGGGGGTTTTTTTTGTTTATTTGATTATTTTTTTTTTTTTACTGATGCATATCCATCTAAACAGAGGGTTTGAATCACTGCTAATTGAATAAGCTTTTAGGATTATTTAAGAGATTTGAAAGACAAATAGTTGTCAGTAGAATGATTTCCAAGAGCAGTAAGAAGTCATTTGGTCTATAACATAACTTTTTTCTGCTTCATGTGCTTTTAACAGGAACCATCAAAAGACACTGGGAATATTTCTGTCAGCAGAGTAAAACAATGAAAATTGCTAAAAATAAAGGACCTGACCAAAGCAGTACAGGAAGTGAGGCAACATTTGATTTTACTGTCATGTCCTACAATATTCTCTCACAGAATTTGTTGGAGGACAACTCTCACCTGTACAAACACTGCAGGCAGCGACTGCTATTCTGGACATACAGATTTCCCAACATCCTACAAGAAATCAAAGAGCTGGATGCAGATGTGAGTAGAAAATGAGCATGTGGATATTTCTTAAGAACTGATAAACTGAAGTAGCAAATTCTGCTACTCTGTACTGGGATATGAAAAACACCTCTGTGGTTTTGGTTGGTTGTAGAGTTTATTGTTTGTTTTTGAGGACACATAAATTGTTTTAAGTCTTAACCAGGAAGTCAAGTCAGTAACATTTTGCTTCAGTTGTTGTTCAGACCAGCAAAAGTTCAGTGATAGAATCCATCATGTTTGAGTCAGGAAACAGTACTGAAAAAAAGTAGTTGTATTAGGGAAGCCACAGAAAAACAGCCTTGTACCATTTGAAAAATGCAGTTGTGTTAGTACATAGTCAGGAATCTGGAAATTAAATTCCCTTCAATCTCCTCCTTTCTTCCTAATAAATCTATACTTCCTGTATGCATATATCTTTACAGTGAGATACCTTGGATAGTTTTCTGACAGAAGCAGCTGCTCTCAGACCATGGTAGATGCAGGTGTCGTTTCCATAGAGAAATTTCTTGCTAAAGGACATAGATTTTTAAGTGTTTCATTGGTTGGAACTTTAAGTGAAGCAGAGATTTCAGAATGTTGCTTGAGATTTGACTGTCCCTTGAGACCTTGAATGAGCTAATGTCAGCTGGGCAAGTGGAATGTGTTGCTGCAGTTCAGGGGTAACTTGTTTCCCTTTGGGAGCTCAGTCCTTTATCCCAGGGGTGGCTGTAGGTTGTAGGTGGCTGCAGCGTGCTGCGTTGCTGCAGTTCAGGGGTAACTTGTTTCCCTTTGGGAGCTCAGCCCTTTATCCCAGGGGTGGCTGTAGAGCTGTGTTACTGCAGCGTGCTGGGGGAAGGCTCAGAGATGCTCACAGCTAGAGTTGGAGTCAATGATCCTTGTTGGGTCCATTCCAACTCAAAATATCCTGTGATTCTGTGAACTCTCTTAAATGAGTATTTTAAGTTTGATCTTTGGTTCAGGTTCTTATAATATGGAAGCCCTTTTTCCACTCTGTAGTGTGCCATTTGCCTCTTCATCCCTTCTCCCTGAGCCTTCCCCTGAGCTGCTGAGAATGTAGGAGCAGGTTACTGTTTTGATTAAATTGAATCTCACCTCTGAAAATGTCTGAAAAATGAGGAATTTGGGGCCTTCTTCATAATCTTAGGGAGTGCTTTCTGTAGAAGAGTGAATTCTTCTGTGGGATGATGGAATCAAAAACCTTCTGAGTTTGCTTTTTTTAATACCTATACAGATTGGCCATCAGAGATATGCTGTAGTAACATTTTGATGTACTTACTAATATATTTTAATTGTAAACTTTTGTCTTAGGTGCTCTGCTTACAGGAAGTCCAAGAAGACCACTATAGAACAGAGATCAAGTCAAGTTTGGAATCCCTGGGTATGATGAAATTCTCAGGACCAATACATTGTCTTCTCCCCTGCAGGGGTAACTTGTTACCCTGTTACCCCTCGAGAACTCAGTACCAATTTCCTTAAAAAAAACCCAAAAAACTCTTATAGATTATAGAATCAAGTGTTTTGCTATCACATGCAACAATGTTGTGTATCCTCTTTTATAAATTCATCAAGTGCTCTCTTGAAACCACCTTAATTTTTTTTACCAGTATTCTTGTTGGGAAGCTCTTCAAGGGGATGTTTTTTCTGCCTTGAAACCTTCCACGTATATATATATATAGCACTGAATGTTATCCATGGTCAGTATATATTCATTAGGGTTTTATACAAGTGCTGTCAGTCAGTCTAAATAGACCTGATTTTATGGAAGGGATGTGTTGCTGAGGATTGATTCCATGGTGGTTTAAACTGATCTAAATCTTTTATGCCATGCACCATCTTCCAGTCCCAGGGCCCCACTTCCATCCTGGCAGTGGTTCTTGTCTGATGCCAGGAGGACATGGTCAAGGAGCAGCCCTGGACTGATACTTTTTTCTTTTTTCATTGGTTGAGGTAGTCTAGCTCCTAGAATTCAGTGTTTGCAAAGAAGAGAGTAATGGTAGTACTGATTGAAATCCACTTGAAACATGAAACAACACTGGGAGACCAGGCTTGTGGGAGCGAGTGAGCTTATAACTACTGTACGGGAGGATGTGGAGCTTGCTTTAGCTCTTCCTTTCCCCTTCCCTAACTCCCAGGTGCATGTCCTGCCCCTCATCCTGGGCTAGTTCTGGCACTCACTAGTGAAATCCACCAGTCCAACAGAATGCTGTCCAGACTAATTTTATTTTTCTGGGTTAGTTTTCTGTTTGCTTACTGAGTTAGCACTAAGTGCCACAACAAGTGGCAGGAGCAGCATGGCCTGAATCTTGGAGAGGGGAATGGGAATCCCCTGTTCCAGCACTGGTGTGGGCTCAGATCAACTCACCCTACTTCACTAAAGCTGCACTTCATGAATTCATATGGTCTGGGCAGGGCAGAGAACATTTTAAAATGGCAAAAACTAGATACTGTTTCAAGATCTAAATTTTTTTCCTTACATAGATAAGGTCTTGTTTAAATCACCTCTGCATAAAATGAAGAAACTGGCAGATCACTATTTCTAGATGGACTTGTTTGAACTCCAGTGTTGTCATTTGATAAGTGTCTCTGTTTCCTTGGTGAAAGCTTGCCACTTGCTGCTCACTGGATAATTGCATAATTATGTAAATACATTTGAGACCTTTGTTCCATGAATAATTTTAGACATTGTGTAATGACCTAACATGATTAAGGCTTTTGATTGGTAATGCTTCACTGGTATTACTCCTAAGCCCTTCTTGCAGCATCCAGAAAAAGCTTCAATGCACTAGGCCACTTCTATGTGCCTTTAGGGGGGTTTCTTGTTGGTTTGGGTTTTTTTCCAGATGACAAGATAAGAACATGACTAGTATCTTAAGAGTATGTAGATGTTTACACATTGCATAAGGTATTGGACCACATTTCCTGTCCTGCCTCATCTCAGCTAAGATTAGACTTAGTCTCATTAATAAGTCTATGATCAGACTTCATACAGACTTTGGTGCTTCAGACTGGGGGTTGACTGTGGTGTGAGAAAAGCAGCATGAGATCTTTCTGATTTTTTTGTTTGTTTGTTTTAAAATCTCTATTTATACAATAGTATTTTATATTCTTAATTGCCTTTCTTGCAGGATATCACTGTGAGTATAAAATGAGGACAGGCAGAAAGCCTGATGGCTGTGCCATTTGCTTCAAAACTTCCAAATTTAGCCTGATTTCCTCAAACCCAGTGGAATTTTTTCGCCGTGATATCCCACTCTTGGACAGGGACAACGTTGGACTGGTGTTGCTGCTGCAGCCCAGATTTCACTGTAAAGCCAATACTGCCATCTGTATTGCCAATACACACCTGCTGTACAACCCAAGGAGAGGGGACATCAAACTGACCCAGCTTGCAATGCTCCTGGCAGAGATTGCCAGTGTTGCCCCTCAGAAGGATGGCTGTTTCTGCCCAATTATCATCTGTGGAGACTTCAATTCTGTTCCTGGCTCTCCATTGTACAGATTTATAAAGGAAGGAAAGTTAAATTACGAAGGACTTGCTATAGGGAAGGTAGGCTGTGCTTCTCACATCTCACCAAAAAAATGGTTAATGCTGATTAAAGAGAAGTATTTGGGTGGTGGTGTGATTGTTTCCATTGCAGTGCCTCTCTTAGTGCCCTGTCAGCAGCCTGCAAAGCAAAAGTTATTGCGGTTAAATAAGTTTGGATATATTAGCTGTGCCTCAGGGAATATTGTGTCCTCTCCCAGCATTCTGAAAGGAAAAACTCACCAACAATCATTCCTGAAATTTAGTGAATCCACAGAAGGATTGTATCACTGTGTTTGGATGATTTTATCACTGTGTTTAAGTGTTCCAAACTTTAAGTAGGATAAAATAACCACTTAATCAAAAACCTACTATGTTCTCTGTGGGAAGATGACTCTTACTGTAGATAAACTTGGTGGCTACAGTAATTGTAGAAGCAAAGCTGCAATTAGATGCTGAATCTCAACTGTTTCATGTTAAAAGATGTCTTGTTGTGAGCTCTTGTATGCAGCTGTTGGATGTGTCACATGCTATGTAACAGGAGTGACTGAACTACATAAAATGAGGAAGCATGAAAAAAAAATAGCCCTGCTGGGTGTTCTTTGCTAGTGGGGACTTGATTCATGCCCCCATTTGACTTGACTTGCTCTCAAAAGGATCAGGATCCTGCAGCTGAAGTGTGTGCTGGGTAGCTCTGTATGCTGAGCCAGTGCTCACATTGCTAAAAGTGTTCTTGGAAGTCTCTCAGTGTCACAAGAACCATCTGGTAAAACTGGGTACCTGCAAAGAACTTGTTACAGATAAACAGGGTGGATGTACATAACGGGTGTTATTTTTACAGGGATTTGACTCATTATAATTATTCCAAGGGGCTGGGCCTTTTTCCTTAAACTTTACAAAAAATGTTCACTTATTTCAGGTTTGTTTGGTGGGTTTTCTTTTTTTTTTTTTTTTTCTTTTTTTTTTTTTTTTTGATTTTTAATCAGATTTTTGTCTGTAAAAAAGCTTGTTGTCTTTCTCAGGTCTCTGGACAAGAACAGTTTCCAAGGGGACAAAGAATCTTATCTATTCCAATTTGGCCAAAAAAATTAGGTATTTCACAAAACTGTGTATATGAAATAAAACAGCAACAAAAGGAAGAAAATGCAGGTCAGTTTTTGAATTATTGAATTTTTGTGAGCATTTGAAAGTATTATTCAGCTAGTACTGAAAACCATACGTTCTGTTTTACTGGGGGAAATACAGTGAGTCTCATGCTTACAAAAATTTCTTGTTGGGCTCATTGGAGTGTAAAGTGATTTATTCACATAAACTTTGCAAATTTGAATCTTTATAAGATAATAGTTCCAAATTTCCCTTCAGGAATTGGTGTGCAATGTTTAAGCTCCTGTGTTTGCATCCTGAAAGCCAGCTGTGCTGTGATTGGGAGAGGGAGGGGCAGGAATGCAGCACATGGACATAGTGTGGACCTGCATTCTGCCTCTGTTTTTATCAATTACAGTGTTGGCACTTCATGGAACAGTTCTGAAAAGAAAGTGATTCCTTGCTGAGTATGGCTACATTTTTAATCCACTATTTTTTCCTTTGACAGAAAAAAACAGTTTTAAATTAATGGGACATCATATAAAAGAGTATTTAGAGGGGATGTTACTAATGGAAAAGAAGAATTGAATCCAGCTTGGTGAATTGTATCTTGCCTTTTGAAAAAAAAAGTGTACTTAAAGATACTTTTTTTTTTTAACTGTAGCTTTTCTGTAGCTCTTCAGCATTGGTCTCACTTATATTCTATTTTAAATATAAATTCAATTGATTTTTATTTTCCAGGAGAAAAATTGGAAGCAGAAAAACCAGACAACACTCAGGAGATTGTAATAGCATCTGAAAAGTATGTATTGGGGAAAAATATGGAAGCCCTTGGCTGGTTACGTGGGGGTTGGTTTTGGTTTTAGACCAAATTTATATGTGATTCCAGCTGTGGATACCTGATGATCACCCGACCCCATCTGCCCTTTTGGCAAAAACATCATTGTTCATTTAAACATGAAAAAGATGATCAGACAGCAAAAGACTAGACTAGAATAATGGAGTGTGTGTTCTTCCAGGAACTTGCAGATATTTTTCCAGAATGCAGGGCTGAGGTATCAGTGCTGTTTAGAGGGTACTTTCTGTCTGCTCATTAAAATAATGCTTCTGGCATTTTTTGTCACTTCTTGACATAAACAGAACATCAGCCTCTGTAGGGACATTGCAATAAACATGGGAACTTCAGTCCAGTTGCAAAAGCCATGTTCTTAAAAGTGGGAGAGGAATAAAATAAGCCAGTGTTGTCCAGCTGCTAAAGTATTGGCACTTCTCTTTTTATTTTTTTTGATACACTGGTTTATGGATGTATAAAATCCTATAATAGATGTGAAACTGGAAGGAAGTAGGGAACAGAACTAGAAAGGTCATAAAATCTTCCTTGTCTTGAGTTCTGTGGGAGTATTTAAGTTCTTTGAGTCTGAGAAATGTGAAGTATTATGGATTTGGCAATACAACTTTCACTCAGAAGGAGGAAGCCATGGCTAGAATGCTGAGGAGGAAGATGTAACTGCTTTTTGAAAGCAAGAATATATTAGCATTTGCCAATCTGGTAAAGGCATATAAAGTAAGGCATAGAAGAAGGAAATTGCCCTAAATGTATGAAAGGCATGGTAGGCTCCAAGTCAGCTATTTCTTACCAGAAAAAATAAGATCTTGGTATCACTGCAGATATTAGAATGCTTGGTGATTCTTGTGATGAAAAAGGTGTCATGGTATTTCTGAGAGAAGAAGTAAATAACAAACAGGAAGCCCTATGCTATGGTTTAAATCTATAGCATGCTGAATGTTTCTTGCAGGGCTTTTCCCCCTCATCTTAAAAGGGATGTCATGTAACAAAAGCAGAAATTACTACTTGTCTGTGTTATACCAACTGGCATGTTTGTCTCTGCTCTGAATCAGGCAAGGTAACATGCTGATTTTTTTTTGGTTTTTTTTTTTTTAATTGCTTGAATTTCAACTAGAACACATTGCAACCTAAGTTTAAAATGCAGGATGAGGCAAGTAGAGCTGAGGGATGGATGATTTGTAGAGATGATGGAAGCAAATGTCTGAGAGACAGGAGTGACACCTTTTTTTTGCTGAAAGGTGCAGTTTGGCAGTTTGCTTTCAAGATTGAAAAGACAGGTGAGACAAGATGGGCTGAACTGAAGAGGAACAGACAAATGATGGGGAGACAGAACATGGGACCCTGAGTGGAGGGAAGACATCAGCATAGCCTAACTTGGAACTTGATACCTCTAGCTTCAGCATAGCCTAACTTGGAACTTGATACCTCTAGCTTCAGGGGGGAAAAAAACTCCTAAAAATCTGAATTTCTCTTTATGCTGAAGGGTCTGGTTAGATGAGTTTGTGTTTGTTGCTTTCATATGAGCTGCTTTCATGGATATTTTTGCCTGCGTGTCAGGGAGAGATTGCTGAGTGAGGACATGTGAATGCTTACAGAATGTATATGGAGTTAAAAGCTATCTATAAGTAAAATGTCAGCTAAGCCAGTTCTCATCAGCAATTTTACTTGAAAATGCTGCCTGCATTTTGCCTTCAGAGTTTTAGACCTCTCACACAAAAGGATGTGGAATGGTTTGCAGGAGAGAAACACTGGTTTGCGTATCCAAATAATTCATTTTGTTTGTAAGCAGGAACTATTTGGTATTTCTTCACTGCTTATTCTTTCTTGGTAATGCAAGAAAATAAAATTCTTTTTTTTGATGTCTCTTTAGGTTGTCTTCAAAATTGCGGCACCATTTTAAATTGTCTTCAGTGTATTCTCATTACTTCCCTGAAACTGGGATACCAGAAGTGACAACTTGTCATTCCCGAAGTGCTGTCACTGTGGATTATATTTTCTATTCTGCAGCAAATGATGATACTGCTGACCAGCCAGGTAAGGAAACCAACTTTTAATTTTCATAAATGCTAAATAAGAATATTTGTTTGCTGTTTTAAGAGAAGTGTAGTGATGATTTCATCCATGTGAAGTTCCTCACAGGTTTGTGGTAGTGCTTTGAATGTCAGGTGTTACCTGAGAAACGTGGCTGGCCTTGTCTGCTCATCACAGCCGGACTTGTAGTGCCATACAGGGCAAACCTTTTCATCTGAGTGAGCATCTCTGTGGTTCCTGTCTCAGCATGGAGACAAGCTGGAGGTACAGGAAAGCAGCAGTGGAAGTAGCACCTGAGAAGTACTGCTGTCAGTAATGCAGGCCAGACCTACAGCAAGGCAGTATTCCCCATCATCTGATCAACACAATGGTGAACAGCAATTTGTGATGTGCATTAAAAGTGATAAACGAACCGTTTCCTGGCAGTTTAATTCTCAGCTTGTCTTGCAGTAATTTCTGCCAAGTAACAGACTCTTGGCCTTTGCTCTGAGCACGGTCACTGGCACTGGCCCAGCTGTCACTCTCTGGTTTGCAGTTGCAGCTAAAAGTCACCAGATGGTGCAAGAAAGTCGCGCTACCTCTGTGGGAATTTCGTGATGGGTATCATAGTGTTTCTCCAAGCTTTACTACTCTGGGATTCGCTCCATGGGTGCTTCTGAGCAGTTTGCTTTCCATGCCCTCGTGAGTTCTGTGTTTTATGCCATCAACAAACATCAGTGCAGTGCTAGCACATAAATGTCTCTGCAGAACTTGGAGCAAAGAAACCTGAATTCCATTCCTGCTCCCACTGTACAGTGCCACTGATTTTTATAAATTAACATTGTTTTTTCAGTATGTGGAATGAAAACACCACCTTCATCTCTTGTAACTTGAGACTAGATTGTTAAAATTCATTGAATCGATTCACAGAAGTCTTATTTGTCATAATGTGCACAGTAAATGCTACTTAATGTAAAATGCCAAATACAAAAGCTTTGACTGAAAAGCCACAATATAGGAAGTATTTAAATTACTTTGGAATGCCATGTGATTTAATGGAGTGCTGTGTAATTGCAAAGTGCATCTCTGCACAAAATTTAATCCTAATTCACCTATTTCTATATTTTTTGCACCATCATGATATATTTTTTGCATCATCAGCATCATCATTGCTTCAGCAGAGATGCAGCACTTTTTTTCTTTTTGCACTTGTTTTTCAATAGATTGTTCCTACATCAGAGTACAGAATGGAACCAAACTTGAATTTTCCAACTACTTTAAACTAGTACAGTTTTTTATTCATGAGCTCTTAGAAATTAAGATTTGGATTTTCAGTTTTCTAATGACCTGGCCTCTGTATTTAAAGCTGCCAATGTCTGTACAAGTGAATTTTAAATGTGGTCTAGGCTCACAGATTGCTTTTTTCCATTTAAAGGGTTTTATTTTAAAATATTCATGCTTTATTTTGTCATGTTTATCCAGATACTTGGTTTGGTATTCAGGATTTCCTGTAACCAGGGTTCAGTACCTACCCGAGTCCTGCAGGGCACAGTTTTGCTGAGTGTACTAAGTGACATTAACCACTGCATGCAGACCAAGCTCTCTGTGGCAACAAACTGCTCCTTTGTAGATATGCAGGTGCTGTCCCAAATGATAAATTTGTCTCAAGACCTGGTGGACATGTGCTCTAGAGCTGCCAAGAGATCTTTGCAGTAAAAAAGCTTTTCTTTAAAGCAGCAAACAGCTGCTGGGTTGTTGAAGGGCTGGAAAGCTGGCAAATGGCAAAGGATGAAGCTGTTGAACTCTCTGAGGAGTTCAGCAGTTGCTGGATAGTCCTTTAAAGTATCTCTTGGGAAGTCAGTACCAGGGTGAGCCAGGAAGTTCTGAATTTGCTGAGAACTTTCACACAGAAAGTGTTTCTGTCAAAAGTTACAGCTGCAGTTTGTGCTGGTCCTGAAAGCACTCAACTTGCCCAGGATCATCTCTGCCCTCTAAAAGCAGTAGGTAGGGTTGCTGAGTAGTTGTCCAACTTGAATACATAGCTCAGGAAATCTAAATTTTACACATCATGGAAGGATCTCAGTAGAATTTCTCCACCTGAGCTGAAAAAGCTGGTTGCTCTTTGATGATGGGCAAATCATGACTGACAAATCTAGTGGCCTTGAGGGGCAGGGCTACAGTAATTGTAGAACAGGGAAGAACAATTGAATATCTGCCTGGGCTTGTGCAATGCATTTGACATGGTCCGGCCCAGCAGCTGGAGAGATGGATTTGGTGGCTGCACCACTCCATGAATTGGCTGGAAACAAACAGTTGCCATCAATGCTTTAATGTCCAGGTGGAGACAAGTGACATTTCTCAGGGATCAGTTTTGGGACCAACGCTGCCCTATCCCTGCAAGTGTCCAAGGTCAGGCTGGATGGAGCTCTGAGCAACGTAGGCTATTGGAAAGTGTCACTTGCCCATGGCAAGTGGGTTGGAACTTCATGATCCCTAGGATCCCTTCCAACCCAATCCATTCTGTGTAATTGTGTAGTAATTGCAAGGCTTGAGTCATGTTCACTCTTGCATGAGCAGTGTGGTGTTTCATCAGGGGAAGGAGGTGGGGGTGGGTTTCTTAGGCAGTTATAGGATTAGGGAGCAGGAAATAATGGAGATCCCTTTCTTACGATGAAAGGGAACAGAAAGCTAGAATACCTTCATCCTTAGGAGCAAAAGTATGACCTGCCTGCTGGGGACCGGTGTGCTTAAGGATACAGAAATAAAATGTTATGTGACCAGTAACTCTAAAAAGATACATACCTTCACATGTGTCAGCTGTTGTCTAAAGTAATGGACTGGATTATATGAGGCTTTCTCAGGGGAGTTAAAATGAACAAATAAATGCATTTTCCTTTTTATTTCTATTTACCCCTCCACAAAACAGTGTCCTTCTGAATACTTTGAGCTCTACTGATGAACCTCTACTTTGAGTCGTAAAAGAATTTCTGAACTGTCGTATTGGTGATTTTGCATGGAACACGAACAGCTGTGCATTATTGCTGCCATACTGTTTTTCTACATCTATATGAAGGTGTAATATTTTACCCACACTGATAAACATTGCCTTTTGGTTTGTTTTTTTCTAACAGGAGCAGAGGATTCTTTTTGTGGAGGTCTGAAACTTCTTGGCAGGCTGGCACTTCTAACAGAGAAAGATCTTTGGACTGTTAATGGTCTTCCCAATGAAAAGAACTCTTCTGACCACCTGCCACTGCTAGCAGAGTTCAGGCTTATTGAACGGTAATATCCAAAGGACTTGTGGTGTAGGTAAAGTTCCCTTCACCTTTTCTCTCATGGGATGATTATTATTTTTTTAAAAGGTTCATTCAAGCACTGCTGGTCCGGTTTAAATAAGTGTTCCTGCATGCTGATTTATTAGTGTTGTGTAAAGTAGACTTTCTAAAGGGACTTCCTTTTTTTTAAAAAAAAAGTTTAATTTACTTTATGAAGTCTTTTAGGGAGAAAAAGGATTTTACATTAGCTTCCTCTTTGATAAAGGAAAACATCTGTGCCAGACTCCAATGGCATTATTTTTAATTAATACATTGTAAATGATTTTTATTGTAAATCACAGTAAAAAGGACTATTCTGAGAACTGTGTGTTTCTTCAAGCAAAGGGAATGTGTTTGTGTGCCTGCAGCATTTTATAATGAATTGAAAATAATGTTTTACTACAAAGGTGCTTTGTGGACACTTCCATCTTAATACTTCTGCAAAGGAATTTACTCAGTGTTGTCAGTGCAGAGGCTGCAAGATTGAACTTTCAAAGGAAGAAAGGCATATAGGCAAATACTTATTATTTATTTGCTGCTTAAAATTCTAAGGGCTTATATATAGGTAGCATTCACTGAAATCTTTTTTAAAATAAAGAAATCTTTTTTCTGAAATAAAGCTAAGCTTAATGAGCACACCACATCACAGGAAACTTTACTGATCTATGCAGGAGCGAAAAAAATAGCCCTTGACATCTTGAGGTTTCATACATATTGAACAACTGGTGACAGGGTGGGGTTTTTTTTCCATTTAGTTATTAAAAAGCCCAGGTTCTGTCTTAAAATGACAGATCCTGAGGTTATTAAATTATCATGGTTTTATATTTACTCTTATTATGCACTCATAAACATTCTGTATAAAATACAATTTACAAAGTAATTAAAAACCACCAGGCTGCCTGAATAGGAAATGTAGAGGGGCTGGAAACAAATCTTGTAACTTGATCAAACGACACATGGATGTGTGTGTTGAACCAACTTGGAAGTAACAGAATTGTCTTTCAGTGTAGTGCTGGAAAACCTGCACCCATTCAGACACATTTGTCTCCCAGAAGCACTTGTGGAATTTTCATCTGTGTTGCCTTTCCCAGACTGCAGACAACTGCCATTAAAGAAGCTCCTCAGTCCATTACAAAATATAAGCACCTGCCAAAACATTCAGCTTACATTGCTGCAAATTTGATTTTTGTCATAGTCGTAGGTAGTTGTAATTGAACACAGTAGTTGTAACTTTCTTCCACCTATTAACAGTGAGGTTGATGCTGAGGATGACAACCTGTTTGATCCTGGCTGCTGTCTGGTTTCAAGCATCTGAGTAATCTCACAGATGCCACCATACTTAGATACAGGCAGCAAATTTCTGAGTACACCCTCATTACAGCTAACCCTTTGTGGCAACCCTTGTTAAGAGCAAAAACAAAAAAAAAACAAAAACCTACATGAGTCATAAAAAAAACACTACCATGATACTTTTATTGAAGTTTCATGCTGTGCATATACAAGTGATGAGAAAAAGCCCAAAAAGTCATGCATGTTTTTCTATACTATTTGACCACTTTGCTGTCACTTGAACCACACTTAAGACAAATGCCATCATAAGCAAGTTTCAAGAGAATATTTTAGCAGAACTTTAAACAAGGACTAAAAGCAATTTGTCAACACACCTCTACAGCATTAAAAAGTTTCAGTATCAGTTAAGAGAAAATAAAGTGTGCTGGACAAGGATAGAAACTATATACAACCATTATTTGAGCTGAAGTAAACCATAGTTTCATAGAAAAAAGTTGCAACATACCAGATAACATTGTGCTATAAGATTCAGCTGATAAAAAGTTTTCCCACATAATTTTACCCATGAGAAGTCATTAAAAAAATTATTTAGGTCACAAGACACTGGGCAGCACAAAGTTTGAAACCAAAACTCTGTAGCTGATGTCAAATTACACAAGAATTTCTACCAAAAGAGTATTTCCCTCTCTTCAGCTTCACTCCTTTATCAAAAAAATCCTTACTGTGAACACAGGAGTGGAAAAGTTTAGAGAAGGAGGGATGGGAAAGGCCCTCCTGTTACTGATATGGTAAACTTGGATAAAGAGGGGTCACACTTTCAAAAAGTTTTCTTTCTAGAGCTTCTGAAGTCTTAATTAGTAGAAAGCCTTTCATTGGCTGTAGAAAGTTGCTGGGTCTTGGCTTTTTCTTCCTGTCCTAGGCAAGTGAAATTCAGTTTTTTTGAGCAATGAGGTCTGTGAACAAGCAGTTTGTTCCTTCTATATTCATTCATTTTCTGGCTGATGGAAATGTTCTAGGAGCTTGAATCATTCCATTTGAATAAGCATTATTGTCAGTCTGTAACAGCATCCATCTTCATCGAGATCCCAAAAAAGTAAGTGCCCAGGAGGGGAGGTACACCAGGCCCATGGCAGCATCATCGATGAGCACAGCACAAAGGGTAGAGGTTGGACATGTACAATAATCCAGTTTATATTTAGGCACCTAGTGAAATATTTCCAGGAATGCAGCACTCAAATGCTTCCAGAGAACTTCACTAAGTCGAATGGTGGACCCCAGTGAGTCTTACCACATCACTTAAGAACACTGCTGTCCATCACAGGTCCTTAGCCAAGTCTTACAACAAAACAACTGAGCAGGGAGGAAGCAGACAAGCTTGATTTTCATCTATTTCAGTCACACTTCCTTATTCAAGTCTGACTAAGCAGTAGTTACTACAACACATGCAGGAAAACTCCCTGCACAGCACAGCAGAAGGTTTAAATTCAGCCTGCCATGCCTGATTTAATATAAGGTTTCAAGTCATCACCATCAGAGACTGCTCAGCCTTTCAAAGACAAGATTCAAATATGCACATAAATGTGGAGAGACAAGCACATGGACTCAGGTTAGCAATTCCCACAGTTTTTCCATTATTTCAGGTACTACATATATGAGAAAAAAGCTGACTTGTCTCTACAAAACAGCAATCTCGGTGGTTTGTGCTTCAGCGGTGTAGTTCAGAAAGACTAAAAGCTTGTGACAAAAGTACAAAAAAAATTATGAAAGTTTAAAAATTCATTATTCATCAATTATCATCATTTAAAAAACCCCAGACCTCGTATCTTGCCTAACAAGATGTCAGTGTTAAGAACACAGTTGCAGATTACTATTACTTAACATCTTTTGGCGACATGCAAAAAACAATAATACAGGTGGCAGTAAAACATCCAGTGCTGTTTTAATACTCCCAGTAATGCTGGGAAACAGTACAAATCGGTTAGAAAACAATAATACTGACAGTTTTGCATATCTATTAAGTCTAGTGAGGTAATGTTGATACTTTAAAAACTTATGCCACTTCTTCACTGCTTGCTTTTATTGCTGAATTAAAGGTTAATAGTGAATATGATTTTTTTTAATTGCACTGCACCCCAGCATATCTTAATACTAAGAATATGATTTGTTAGTTACTCCAATGCAACCACCCAGCACAAGGCCAATTTCAATTAACACTTGTACAGGGAAATTATATTTGAAGAAACTCACACCACTGAAGTCACCTGCTACATGATGGGAGAGAAAAAAAATCTCATATCCCGGCAAATCTAATTTTAGGTTCTCTTCACTGATGCCTTTTCTATAAATTGAAATAAATACTGCCACCAAAAAAAATTACCCCCTATTTTCTAGGTCAAACTTTTATTGTGAGAGTACATAAGTTAAAAAACAGTCCCATTCCTTTTTCCTTCCAAGGGAGTGCAGGTAAAGTGCAGCGGCGGCGGCGGGGAGCCCTGTGGAGCCCGTGGCACGGCTGAGTCAGATGCGGAGCTGGTAGCCCACCTCGTTGAGTGTAGCCAGGTCTCCTTTCTTGTCCAGCACCGCCGGCCTGCGCACAGGGGAGGGAAGAGGGCGCTGCGATCCCGTGCAGGTGTGGAGAGCACGGCAGCCACACCGGGAAAAGCTCGCCTCACAGGAGGGTGGATAGAGCTAATGTCATCTGAAACACAGTCCTGGTAAATCTGCTACAGGAACTACTGTGATAGAGCTATCTGTGTGTCGGCTCTGAGGCCACCAGTGAAGGATAAGCTGAGCTGTGCTGGGATCCGGGATGTGAGCCTGAAGCACCCCCTCCTCCTGACACGAGGGAGGGCCTAAATGAGTAACTACGACCAGACACACCCCACCTGTCATCGACCCCGGAGCAGGACTCCAGCTTTCAGAACAAAGCCAAAACAGCTGAGAGCAAACAGGCAGGGCCTCTGACATGGCCACTGCGTGTTGGCTCTCCCCCAGCCTGCCCCCTCCTCCTGACTGGGTCTGTGTGAAGGGCTGGAGACCACCAAACAGGGTGGACTCCCTTCAGCCTCCTGCCATTCGACATTCTGGTACCGTTCACCTGAGCAATCACACACACATGGATGCTGTTAGGCCATTTAAGTATTCCAACAGCCTGAACCAAAGGAAACCTTGAGTTATCATTCTCTTTTTAGCAAGCAATTGAAAAGCTCCTGCAACAAAGTTGTCAAACCAAAACTAGCCAGCTGATTTATAGTCTGGAAGTGTCTAATCTGAGAATTTATTGCAGGCTCTTGGCTGCTTTCACACTAAGCCGTCTGTTTGCTTTTCTAAAGACAGACATTGTTTAAAGCACACATTTCTCTAGTACTCCATAGCACGTCTGCTTCCCTGCAGAAACACAGCTAAAGCCCCAGCAGTACAATGGGAGGCTGATCATGGCTCCAGTGCTTTCAGCTGCTCAGCCCTGGTTTCCAGCTCTGTGTGCTGACTCTTTGCTCACTCTGCAGCAGATGTGACCCCTGAGTTTGCACAGCCAGGCTGGCGCTTATCTCCCCGCTGCAGGCTGCCAGCCCATTCCCACTGGAGCAGCTCAGGGCAGGCAGCAGGCCCCAGAGAGGCAGCAGTGCCACAGGCAGGCTGGAAAGCAGGCAAAGCCCAGCCCTGCCTGTGGCACACTGCTGGGGCACACACCAGGGAAGAGCTGTACTGCTGCAGCCCCAAGAACTGAGAATGTATAGCTCACACATACTGTGTGCAACAGAGCCTCTGAAATATTTTTTAATTCCTCAGTTCAATAAGGATTTTTTTTACTTTTTTCTTTTTAAGAGCAGAACTGCTAACACCAGATCCCTCCTGAGAATCTGCACAGCATTTGGGGCATCTAATGCTCTTCTGCCTAGTGGCACATTGAATGACACCTGTTGCTTTGCCATTTATCTAAGCACCTCTCATAATAACCTCACCATCCTCACTGTGGTACTACCCTGCACCATGCTTCTTGTTTGTCTCAGTTTAAATAATTCACAGAAGTGAAGGAGTCTTCACTGGTCCCTCTCACTTGCAGCAAGGGATCACACTTAAAAGAAATCACTGTAAGGTAATTTGCGTTTTTCCACATTATTCCTTCCAAGCAGATGGGATTTGGCTAACCAGTAAACAAGCTACAAGCTGCATCCCTCAGAGCTTGTGTAGGAGTCAGAGACCAGCAAGAGATGCACTGTATGAAATTTCCAGTGTCCTTCCTTTCCCCTTCTCTCCAATTTAGGGATCCTCTTCACATCTTTTTCTCCCTTTAATTAAGGTCACAATATAGTTTTAATTAAAGCATGCCTGGATGGTAGTACCTTCTCTGATTATCCAGGAGAGATGGGGAGTCACTGTACACCCATGACGACATGCCTATTTCCACCCATCCACAACTGTCTGTAGTTTTTAGCTACAAATAGACTGTCCTCCATAAGTTTCAGGAAAAGACAAGACTTGGACCAGAGGCACCACAGATCCCATTCTCCTTGGCTGGCAAATGGCCTTATGCCAAACATCCCTCTGAGGCCAGGGGCCTCTGCTTTACTGGCCCATCAGATCACACCTCCTGTCCAAAGTACCCTGACCACAAGCAGGTGAGCAAGCTGTGCCCAGATGCTGGGCACGCAGGATTCATGAGCTGTCTGCACTGGAGCTGCCTGATTTTACACATCCTAATGTAATCCTGCCCCCTTGCACATCCTGATAAATCTGACTAGCAGAATTTCCCTTTCAGCAGCTACACTGGGCAGGAAGCACACAAGGCCAGTGTTGCCACACCACTCACAAAGCATGAATGTTAAGACTCAATGTGAAATTGAAAAGAAATACATCTGGTGAGCTGACGTTTAGGAGCAGAGATTCTCCCAAGCCCCTCCAGCTCCAAGAACTCCTAGTGAGGATGAAACACTTCACTGCCTGTTCCAATACAGGTCTGCAATTTACTGCACCCTTCTGCTTTGGGACTCCAGAGGATGGGCAAGTGGACACAGTAAAGCTTCAGACTCTCCAGCGAGACTGACACCACCCTATCTATATCCTCTATATTCATGCAGGATCACACCAGCTGTGGGCTGAGAGCACAGGGACTGCTGCACAGCTCAGTTAACAAGCTGCAATTTGACTACACACCAGCCTCCTAGGCAGGCATGCATTGGGTATTGCATTGCCACCTGTCCTGCAATGTGCCCCACCTGCCTTGCAGCTGCATTTCCAGGCTGAAAGGCTATTGTGGGCTTGCTGGCAGCCACCACTAACATTTACCTAATAAAGTTGAAGGGGCAAGGATGAGAAATTAAATGTTTGTGGCTGTGAAATCCTCCTCCATCCTTAAGCACAGTTTCAGCCTTTGTCCTTCAGAAACAATCCAGCCAAGATACTCTAGTTCACAGTCCATATCCTTCAGTGGGAGATTTCTCCCAGCAGGCCCATATAATTTTACTGTTGACAAAATCCAGGCTGTAATAACAGCTTGTCATCAGCAGGTGAAGCCTTTCAAATGAATGTGTTATTCTGCCCCTGCCAGCTCACACTGGAGCAAAATACTTCTCTCCCCCTCCCCAGCAAGCTCAAGAAAGCTGTAATTACAGCACGTGAGTAAGAGATTCACAAAGAAACAAAACAGTGTTGATAAGCACAGCCATTCTTTAGCTTGGATTCCAGCCTAAAGCCTAGCAAACCTGACTCCTTCCTATTCTGTATGTAACACAAAGGCCTCTCACTCCATCAGGTTCTCAGAGATCTATCAATATGGAGAAGAGACTACCCCATTTCTCCTCTTGTATTTTTCGCCTTATATCAACCTCTGCACGTGCTGGGATGTGTCATTCAGCTCATCCCTGACCTGGGGATGCCATTCCCCCTTCAGGGCTCACAGCTCATCACACTGTGTCTGAGTCCTACATCTTCTATCAGGGTGACCCAGGGTTTATTTTAGTTACATATAATTTGCTCTTGATACAGAGCAACAGAACAGAACCACTGAGCAGGTAACAGGTGCTGAAGCCACTGCAAGAGACACTTCCTGTCTTTCTGTCCTGGAAAAACAAAGCTGCCAAGGAGCACATCAACTTGAGAGTCTCCAAGCCCAGTGACACTCATTCCTCTCCAGAAATATTTCATCCACTCCAGCAACTGCAGAAATACTATCAGAAACTCAAAAATGAAACTGTTCCTCAAAGAGAATCTAGGAGGTGAAGAAGCCTGAAGCAGCTGAGCCCATTACAACTATAATTATCTATGCACTAAACAAGATAGTACAGCTTCGTGGATTGAGTGTGAATGAACATATAAAAATAAAAGCTTGCTGTGAAATAATCTGCTGCTAACGTATCTTGAAGTTATCTTTAGAAGGTTAGTCTAATGTCTTTGTTAGCTGCTTTAAAATAAATAAATAAGTGCTGAGACAGTAGTCTGGGAGCCTATTTAAAAAGCAATGACCATAAATATGTGACTAATCTGGGTTACATATAGGCTTTCACAGTTGTCAGCTTCCTGGCATGGAGCACTACAGCTAGAACCCAGCTCTTCCACATCTAAGGTAGGGGAGTCTGAATTGCCAGTGGCTGTAAAAGGTCTGTGGATCTGGAAGCACAGTTTTGTCCATTTAGAGGTATTGCATCCATCCCTCCCCACACAGCTGAAGAACAACTCTTAGCTATGACACACATGGAAAGCAGCCTGGGTTTTTTCTGAGCTGATTAAAATCAAAGAATACAATTCAAGTGATGTTGTCACTTTGGAAAGACAAGTTTACTCTTCCCCTGTCTGTACACTGCACAGTGCAGGGACCCTGCACGAAGGGGCCATCAGGCAGCAGGGAGCACAGCAATGCCAGGACATCAGCAGTGCCAGCAGCTTCTGGAGCCTCTCTGGCAACAAAGGCACCTGGTGCCGCTTTCCTGTACGTGCCAGTGAGCACGGGAAGTTTTGTACAGCAAAGTAACATCAGCAGCCTCCCCTTGTGCCCCAGCAGGGCTGGTGGCAGGAATACTCACGATTTATCTCTCCTGCAGGCCCGTCTCTGAGGGCTACCTTGCCTCCGGCGAGGGGACAGCGACTTACCCCGGGGTCTCTCCTTCATTGGAGAATGGGCACTTGAGGGTTTCAGAATCTGTGAGAGATGGGGGAGGGAAGGAAGTGGCCTTCAATAAAGGCAATGATTCACTGCAAATAAAAATTTAAAATAAAGGGCCTCATACAGTAGCAGGGAGGCACACAAAGAGCCTTCAGTCCCTTGGGGCTTATTCAAACCTTGCCCAGGTTAAGAGGAACTCAAAGCTGTTATCATGTGATAGCTGTTCAGGGGCCCCCTGCAAGAATTAGTTGGTGTCACCAGTTCAGTTCCCAGCTGAATACTGTCTCATCCACAGCTTTCTTCAGAGCTGCCAACAGCAATAGATAAGAAAAATGGCTTTGAGCCTCAGCTGAAAGAAACTCAAGCAGCCACATCACCCTCTCCAGCTTTTCTCTCAACAAACAGAGGTGAGCAACTCTTAGGCTGGCAGCTGAACTCTGACAGTGAGGCTTTTCAGTAGGTCTCCAACTTGCCCCCATCCTCCAGGCTCTCCAACATCAGAGGGCCATCAGCATTACACTCACACTCTGGACTGCTTTTAAGACCTGATCCTCCAAACTCAACCCACTCACAAAGAAGGCCTCTGAAATCTGTAGTAACTCAAGGGAAAGATCAGATGCAGGGCCCTCAGTCTAGAAGGGTTCAGGAGTGTGGTCCTGACCCTGAGGCACTCACCAGGACAACACCCAGTGTCACAGCTCAGTGCTGTGGTCCCTCTATCAAAAACAAGTACAAAATTCAGTAAGTCATCCACCCATGTGAACTCCTTCAACTCGAGCCTGCTTCAGCTATTTGCTCTCTGGATAGTATTAAAAGCGCATGAATAGAGAAGAAGATAAAAACCCAAACTTAATTACATCAGTAATCAAGGCCATATGCTTAAGGTGATAGCACGGTACAAGGTGGCCCTCAAAACTCCTTGGCAGGGCAGGAGAGATGGCAGCAGAACATAGGGGCTACGATGCCACTGGCAAGGCTCACCCCAAGGTCAGGGCAAGGCAGCAGGTGCCTCAGCCAAAAAGGCACATGGCTGCTACGTAGGAGCCGTCCTTTAGCAGGGAAGGGGGTGAGAACCCAGAATAACTTGGACACCATGCCACATACCTCTGCACAAGAGCCAGACCCATACTTAGCAACACACCTGCTCTGCTCTCACTGCTGGCAGCCAGCTGGACAGGCACCAAATCTGCTTCCACCGTGACCACAAACAGCTCCTCACCCATGCCAGGCTCAGAGGCACGGTCAGGAACACCCCTCATCTCCAAGGGCAGCCAAACCCTCCAGGCCCCTGGCAGCCTGCCTTCAGTCCAACCAGCCAGCAGGGAAGTCTCTCAGGGAGTCACTTTACTCGCCTTTCCCACATAACCTATTCTGTGATTTAGCTGAGGGTAGTAGACAGCAGTCCCCTGGCATGTCCTGAAAGGAGAGGCAGCCACTGACACAGACGTCCCATGGCACCTCCTGCAGCTCAGGTGGAAAGCACAGACCCCCCCTACCTGCAACTGGGCCACTCTTCCCAGCAGTTCCAGCCCAGCCATGCTGATTCTTCCCAATCACCTTCTTCTGGAGTCACTGAGGAAAGCAAACTGGGCAACAGCTCCCTGATAGCCAAGAACAAGTATGGGTTCAAGTGTTTCCCAGGCTAAAGGGGAAATCCTTCAACTAAATAGCTGTAAGGGCTTGAAAGCACACCAAAAATCCTGGGAAGCAGCACCAAGAGAGATGCAAGCACCCTCCCAGCACACCTGATACCTGCATGATCTCAGGCTGACACACAGCGAGATCCATCTCTGCAGGATGGGACAAGGCACAGGTGCCTCCTGAGCCCAACACCCAGGTGCACAGACCTACCTTCATCCTCATATCCCTGGCAAACTTCTCCAGCTCCTTTCTGACTTCTGTGCGCATCATTTTGGACACGTTGAGGACCAGCTGTTTCCACTCGATGGGCTGGAAGCTGTGCGGTTCGTGCGGGACGTACAACCCAATTTTGACTTTTTTGACTGAATGCAAGTACTTTTTATAGGAGTCTTCAAATTCGAAGATGAGGTCACTCAGAGTTCGGTAAGTGAGAGGTTTGTCCATCAGGTCCGATCGCCTGCTCATGCCCAGCGAGCCGTAGCGGCCGTTGCAGTAAATCCCAAGCACCACGTGATGAAAATAGTTCCCTGAGAAGTGGGTTTTAAAGCTGATGGGGAATCGTTCCACGGAGGGCTGCCCGTTTGTTAGGTAGCTGGGGTGCACTGCATCAAGGCAACAACGGTGCTGGGAAAGCAGCAGATACAACCACACCTGTGAGACATCTTCAGCAGGTTTGGGGTTTTTAACTGCCAGGGCAAAGGGCTTTCCTGTAAACACAAGCTTATTCTTGTTGTGCCCAGATACAGCCAGTGCTGCCAAAGCCCATTTCACTGCTTGGGAAATAAGATGCAATGGTTCAGATGGGGAAGGGCATGACTCTTAAGCACACTTAGGGAAAAGATAAAAAACCACAGCACTGTTCAGGTCAGCACACCCAAAGGGAGACTACCCTCCCTAGATCTGTGGAAGCTCCCCATTTGATACCTACATCAAACTCCCACGCTTCCAAAGGGAAAACCGTCTACCTCCCTTTCTTGAGGGTTTGATACAACTTAGTTCACTGAGCCTCATTTGCTCATGTCTTCAAATAGTACCAAGAAATTTGCATTTATTCCTCGCCAACATGACAGTCTGCCTTTCCTTCTGTAAACTGGTCTTCGACATTGCCACTCCTCATATAGAGTGTTTTAGCATGTTACCCTTGAAACACATTGCTGAGAGGACCCAAAGGAAAGGTCCAATAATTAATTAGATAAGCACAGAGGCATGGTGAGAAACAATGCTCTTAAAAAGAAAACGCTGTCCCTGGAATCACTGACTGGCCATTTCAAAGGCACCACGTGCAGAGGCCAGGACCAAGCTCTGTGCCAGTGCAGTGTGTGATCTCAGTGGGGAGCTACGTGCAGCTCACCTCCTAGGGAGGCTGCTGGCCCGTGCCAGGGAAAGGACAGGCTGAGAATCCCTCACACAAGCAGCTCTGCGTCAGCACCTACGTTGCATGCAGCTCCCTGCTGCTAATCCTGGGACAGCTGAAACTCACCCTGGCTCCACGTGCTGGCACCTGGCCCCTGGGACAGCAGGTGCCCTGCCCTCTGCAGCTGAGGCCCCCACCCACGCCTGGGGAATGGAGGAGGGATGACCAGAAAAGGCTGTAGCAAAGCTCTCCAGCCTGGGATTACTCCAGCCAGAGGCACCTGCTGTAACCTTGGAGCCATCCTTTGAGTCAGCTGGTCATGGTGCTGCCACTACAAAATACACCAGCCCAAAAGGCAGCACTGCCAGGATAGTGTCGGGGCATCCTGACAGATGGATGAGTGGGCTCAGTTCCCACTGAAGCTGCAGGAACCTGCTTTGTCCAGGATTCTGCTCTGGGGATCTCCAATATCCCCTCTTCTCCCTACCTCATGCCCAAAAAGGAGGTATTTAACAGCAGTGCAACAAGAGGCACCACAGAGCTGAGATATCCTGGGATGTTATTGTGACCAGCCTTCCTCCCCTGCCTCCATAGCATAGCTGCCAGACAGCTGCTGGGAAACTGAGAGCACAAAAAAGCTTTTGTATCAAGACTGTAAAACACAATTTGGGCTCCGTTCTGGCTCTGCCCAGCTTGACATGCCACCACCTCACCACCAGTGTGACTCCCTGGGATGATGACCCCTGCCTGCACCCCACATTTCACTTCTTTGTTCCATAAGGTTGCATGAAAAGCATCCAGTGGCTCTCATCTGTCTCTAAACCATTTTCTCAGGGGGATACTTCACCCAGTGTTTGTTGAATAAGAGATTCGTGAACTGCCCAGAATCTGAAGTCAAGAGCAAGGAGTTTCACCAACAAACAAAAAAAAAAAAAAAAACCACCACAGGAAAGAAAAACACATTGACACAGAACTTTCAGAACAGCCACAGGGAAGATTTTCAGTTCCACGTCAAACTTGTTTAGCTGTATTCAGTGCTAGATGTCATCAGCTTTAGCAGCCTGGAGAAAATGTGTTAGAGGGTAAAGGAACAGACAACACTGTGGGCTCAGCTCACGCTGCACTCCACTGGCTGTATGACCATGAGTGTGGAAGACTGTGCACAGCAGAGCACAGACCTCCCTATCACCCAGCCAAGGCCACAGGCACCCACCTCCTGCCCCACTGCCATCAAACGCAGACACCCTGCAGTGACTGTCAAAGCCTGCCCCAACGTCACCTATGCAGAACAGAACCAGCTCTATTTGCCTTAGATGGTCTCACTGGATCACTGCTGCTT